TTAAAGAGAGAAGCACATCATGGCTTGGAGAAATGAGAAGCTTGCCTTCCTGCATTCTGGGTTAATGTATGAAGGGAAACAGCATGGAGGAGACGAGTGTGCCCTGCTTTCTTCCTAGATCATAACGTGATGAATCCCATCAAAGAAGGGTTGTCTTCAGAGTCCAAGCCAAGATCAACACGCCATTTTTCCTCGCAAAACTGCAGCATGTGTTTTTACAAAGAAATCTAGGTGGGATCTAGCAGGGAAATTATCTAGTCCTGAAATAGACTTCACACTGAGTTTCCACTGAAATTGAAACCAAGACAGAAAAGGATCTCCAGGGAAAGGGCAATAATCCTGAGGTTAGAGTGGGGTTAATACCAATCCGCCTACCACGTACTCAAAAGCACTTGCCGGAGGTAGAGCTAACAGGGAAGTTACTCTAGCAGATGTTTTTCAAATTAGCTGAAACCATGCCACGGAGTAAGGCAGCAGAGTTGGAAACGTGCCCGGGGAGACCTCCTCACAAGCCGCCCAAGGGAGCCCTTTAAATGTCTCTGAATGGTCTCGGTGCAGAGCTTCTGAGTCAAGGCCAGGGAGACAAGGCAAGCATACTACAGCCCCTCCTTTTCCAATCGCCTATCCATGGCTTCCACACGCTCATCGTGTGCGCTGTTAAATGCTAAGGAAACCTGGCAAGGTTGGGCAGCTCCAAATGACACACACTTCATAGCTTGGCTTTGCATGGTTGCTTACGGATCTGACAAGAAACACTGGGAGAAGACAGACAAATTGTCAGTGACAACAGATGCAAGTTATAAGCGAATGTGAAAATAAATGGTTTCATTTCCGGCAAATTCTAGGAAGAGGGAGGAGGGGCGGGCTTACATTTTGCTTGTGTATTCAGGGCACTGCTATCTAGTCGGCAACCAAAAGCAAACTATGCAGTCACATCCCAGCCATACTGGCTTATATCATAACTAGGTATCCAGACAGAGAGTCCTGTGTGTGCCAGTTTTCCTAACTGGGCTATCACTTGTTTCCCAGTAGTTAGTTACTTCTCTAAGGAGGAGGAGACAGCAAACATCCATCAGTGAAATCTTAAGGCACTGAAGTATGAAAACACCCACTCTGCCCTACTGTCTATCAGAATGAAGGCTGGGAGATTACTGAGTCAGCATTTCTGTGCAAGACCAGCTTCTCAGCAATCCCGGTAAGGAGCAGTGGGTCTCAAAGGAAGGCCACTCATTATTCAAACTGCCTGACCTACCCATCCATTTCCTTGTGTTCCTCTTCTTCTTAATCCCATCTGCTGTGTGAGCTTGCACGCTGCACAGTTGCAGAGAAGGGAGCCATGAATACAGATTATAGAACTAAGTGGATATGGGTTGAAGAAGAAAAGGTTCTGGCATCTTGCATTCCATGCGCCCCAACCCTCCGTGGTTGTTTAAATTAAAGGGGGTGTTAGAGGGCTACTTATAAACCTACTTTGGGGACAGAATGTTTCAGGTCTTCCTAGTAACAAGTCTTGGATGACTCCTGATTTGAGACCAAATCTAGGGAATGTAACCTTCACCAGCACTGAAAAATAATCAGGCTGCAGAGGCCCATGACTTAAAAACCATGAAGGATGTCTTGAGGGGCACTATAATGATTCTTTTCTTGGAAAACAGAGAACTGAGAGCACTTAGGGTGTTCTAGGAATAAAAGGCAGCTCAAGACATGGGGTGTTTTTCAATCCCCAGGGTTCTCAGCAGCATGAATTTTTTTCTACAATGCTAGCAAAAGACCTTCTCATGATAACCATCATCTAATTTTAGAAAGATTCATACTTTTAACTTTGGATGTGTGTGCACTTTGGTGCACATACCCAGAAGTCCAGAAGAGGGCATTGAAGTCCACGGATCTCAAGTTAGAGACAATTGTGGGCCACCCGAAGTGGGTGCTGGGAACTAACTATAGTCTTTTGCAAGAGCTGTACGTGCTCTTACCCTAATATTTTTAAATAGACAACAGACCAACATAATATAATAGGTATGAATTGTAATTATGGGAGGTCAGTATTGGGTTTCCTGAGATCTTAATTAGCCTTCTCGTAATATGAATCTTAAGGGAAAACCAACCTATCAATGCTAAGAGAGAAAAAGATATAAAAGAATTCACGGCAAAAGTAAAGTTTCTAAGGTAACGGAATCTTCATGTAGTCCTCCAGTTGGAAGCCTCCTAATGGAAACTAGTCCCTTCCCTTCTGATAAAGGATAAAACACTTGATGAGGATGACCACTAAAGTAACACAATATGAGTTTGAGTTGACTGAACAAATTTCACTATAGAAATGCCCGGTGGGTAGCATCTTAGCATCATGCAGAACGAAAGCAGTGAGCTCTATTTCCACAAGGGTTTCCTGAAAAAAAAATATTATGGTGCATGTCTATACCAAGGTGCTGCTTTGCTGTCCCTGGGTCAAACAAGCTCCCCCCATCTCTGTGGTGTTAATTGTATATGAAATATCAGTCTTGGAGGCTACTTGGAACAAAGGTAAGCACTTGACAGATCCAAGCGCATTCAGCTTCTGTCCATAAGTCTCCATTCGGTAAGAAATTTGAAAGGGCAGAGTCTGGAAAGCAGAACGTGGAGGTGTGTGGTATTTCTCTGCATAATATTTTGAGGTCCTCTTTCCATCTGCTTTGAATAATTTGCTCACGTGATTCGCCGTGTTTTCAGTCTTGCTGGAATGAAATGAATCTAGAGGGAGAAATTAGTGGTGCTGAACCATCAAAGCTTATTGGGCATGTCATTCCCTCTCAGTACACGGGCTTGCACATAATTTGAAAAGTTTTGTCAGAAAAGTACTTCATGACCTTTTAAAAACATCTGTTAACTAGTTCACTTTGCCAACATGTATGTGGCCTGTGTTCATTCTTTTTGGGAAAATTCGTAGAAATATACAATATATGTTAGTCATACAAACCCCCCACTCCCTCCCTATGTTGTCTATATCTTTTTTAACAGCAAATCTTAGAGTAACAGAGAAAGAGGTGCAGATGTAGGGTTTTTTTAAAGTTAGCTTACATTTGCAAATGTCTTTTCACACAAAGTTACATTTTCTCTTAATCTAGTCACTGAGCTTAAAAGGATTCCATGGAACTATAGACCTATAACTTGGGGTAAATATCTTACAGTAGCCGTCCCAACAACTTTGAGCTGAACCATCAAATCCAAATAAAATGAAGAAGCCAGCTGTGGACGCCAGATTTCTATCAGCTTCCTTTCATTCCAAAGTTTGGATTTTTTTGTGTTTTTGGTTTTGTTTTTTGTTTTTTGTTTTTTTCTGAGCCCAAAGGTAGCTTTTAAATTCTAGCACTTATTCGGAACATGCCATACATTTTTTTAATGTACTGAATGTCCTTTAAAACGACAAGAGCAAAGACAGCTCTCCTCTGGTATTGTATAAACAGTTGCGCCCCTCCTAGCCTACATCTAACCCTGAAAAAACAGTATTGTCATCTCCACAGAATTTTGCTGCCTGAAACTGAAATTGTGATATAAATAACTGTTTTAAAAGCTGCCTGTTAACAGTACCGCCTTTTGTGATTTAAAACAAACGGAAACAGACAAACAAAAAACTGAGGTGTGGGTGTGGGGGGCTGAGGGGGGGCTTCAGGATGTTTGCCTTTGGCCCTAAATTCCATTCCTGAGTTCTAAATTCTAAGCGTTCCCTCCTCGCTGCTAGTGGCCATTCCTGAGGACAGTCTGTAACTGTGACTTTTTATTATCCATCTTGTAATTCTGTCGTAACTTCGCTTGCTAGGCCAGGAGGCGTAATGGATCCGCAGCCTCAGTTTCTCCACCTCTCCCTCTAGGCCCCCCAAGAGGAGTGAAGAGTCCTCTCCCTCTAGAACCCACAAGAGAGCTGATCCTCCTAGCTTCGCCACCTGCAACCCCTTCCCATCTACATGCCCTCCCCAGCTCAGACAGAAAATTCCGCAGCGCTCCAGGCCAGGCAAGGGGTGAGCAGGCATCCTGGGTCAGCGAGGCGCCCGCCTTGCACCCGTGCTCAGTGTCTCTAGAGCGGGCACTCGGGCTGCTACCGCCCCTTCCCACGACCTCGGGGACAGCCTGAAGACGGGCATCGCTTGCCTCCAGCGGGTCCTGAATACAAGGTCTTCATCGCCACGCGGAACCATAAAGGTCCCTCCCCGCAGCTGCAGCCGCCCCTCCATGAAAGTGCAATTTGTTATCTGGCCCAGCCTGGAGCAAGGAGAGATGCTCATTCCCCCGGTCCTTTGAATACAGGCTCTGACCGCCTGCCACGGGGTTCGCGGGCAGTTGGCCTCAGCGACTCTCCGGAGACACCCCCTGGGACCCTGTCCTCTGTGCGTTTCTCTCTGTGCCACAGTCTTTGTGTCTCTCTTTCTGTCTTTTTTCCCCCTCTCTACCACACGTGGGGAAGGGGGTCGCTCTTCACAACCAACGCCAAAAAATGTCACACAAAAAAGAGTGCAACAACTTGCTCTTGCAAAGGACTCTGGAGCTCACGGTGAAGTCTCCTGCAGTGAGCAACTGGCCCCCGCCTGCAAGATGCTGAACCGGGTGTGAATTTGGCTGGAGACCTTAGAAAAAACATAGGACGCGGGTTCTTGTCCCCTTCCCTCCCCCTCCGGGGACCCTGTCTCAGTTAAATAAAAAAAAAAAAATCTGTCCCTTCTCGGACACCCCGGGGAGCTTTGGGGAACCTAAGCCTGGAGAAGGGGACGCTAGCCCCGGGGAACTCGAGGTCACCACTGGGACCAGACGTGCCCCCTGGGCAGGAGTCGGGGAATTAAGCGGTCCAGCCAATGACCAGCAGGGGCAGCCCGCAGTCCCTAGGATGCGAGGGCAACCACGACCTCGCAGCGGGTGGTGAGCCAGAGCCACCCAGCGCGCCACTGCCGGCGCCACCAGCGCCACCGCCGACACCGCCACCACCGCTGCCGCCGCCGCGCTCGCCCCAGCCCCGCTGTGCAGCCTGGCTTTACCTTGCCGCTGCCCGCAGTCCGGAACTCGCTGGTGGCGTCTGTCCGTCTGCCTGTCCGTCGCACGAGCCTCGGAGCAAGGGCAGGAACAGTGGCCCCCCTGGCCGGGGATGCCTCTCAGCGAGGGTTTGGGAAGGAGCCTACTCCGTGGTGGATGCGGCCGCTCGCACCACCGGTCCTGCAGCTCCCCGCCAGTGGAAGGTGTCTGCGAGGCCGCGTCCTCGCGATTGCGGCGCCCGGAGCGCAAGGCTCGCCTCTGGCGCGGAGGCTGAGCGCAGGGAAGCAGCAGCAGCAGCGGGCAGGGGCTGCTAGGCTGGGCTGGTCACCCGCCCCTGGGTGCATGTTAATACAGCGGGGAGGAGGAGGAGTCCCGCGCTTCCTCCGCCCAACCACCGGAGCAGGCGGGCGGGCCGGCGGGCGGCGGCCACGGCCCTAAGCCAGGCGCTCGCACCCGCCCCAGCTACTACGGAGTGGCCACTGGCCTTGGCCCTGGCCCAGGCACGTGCGTCCCGGGCCGCGGGGAGGCGCCGGCGGCTCCCGAAGGGTGCGCGCTTGCCGGCTCAGCCTCCCGAGGCAAGTGCGTCCGCTCCTTCCCCGGGAACGGACTCCAGCATCTCCTCCAGGAGCCCAGAGGCGGCCACCCGCTAGTGGGCGTGACCTATCCATACCCTTGCGCAGCGTCTAGGAGTGGGGGGGGAGGGGGAGTAAACTTCCGCTCCTTTCTGCCCAGTGCTGGCTCCTTACTCAGCCATTCGAAGTAGAGACAGCAGAACACAGTACAAGGTCGGTCCATCCCCCCCGAGACCCTGTCTTTGGGCAAAGGGTGGTTAGAAATCTCTCCTCTCCATCCTCAGAGCCCACCAAAGAAATAGCCACTTAGGAAGAGGCACATAGCCAAAAGGCTCGGACTCACCCATCTCACAGATGATTCCAAACCTGGCACGAACACTCAAAAACTCTTTCCCTTGGCGACTCGGGTTTCTTGTCTTCTACAGCAACAGCTCTTGGGCAGGTTGTGTGGATTAGATAGATGGCACTTTTTTTCATCCGTTCACTGTTTTCATTAAAGAAAAGAAAATAGACTCTATTCCTCCTGTCCTCTGACCTCAAGCAAAAATCCCACCCTCTGCCCCTCCGTGGATACCTAATACCACCACTTAGTGGGTGTTACCCTTAAGCTCACACCACAGAAGGACCAGGATAATGAAGTAAACGGGTTAACTGGGAAGCAGAAAAAGACCAAGTGGATCAATTAGGAACGCGCCAAGTTGCTGTTCTACTCAACATTACACTAGGCACTGAGTATGACACTCCGGGTCAACACTAGCATGCTATAATGATAAATTGTAGTTCATCACCGTCTTCCTGTGTACTTCCGCCCCCCAAAAAAGAAATGACATGTTCACAGAGAAAGCCCTTTTGTTCTGCAGTTGCCCCAGGAGAACACTCCGATGAAAAAGCGTATAATCTCCTTTATGTAATTGTACCCAGAAAGTTATAACATAAGATTTAGCATCTGTTTTGTGTGCTATCTAATTATAAATATTAATAGAATATCCTTTTTTAAAGAAAACACTTCTAAAAATGCGTAGAAGTGAAAAGCAGTTTCCATAAAAATATGACTCAGATAAATAATCTGCACAGTTTCACTAAGTGATTTTCCACTAAAGAGAGGAAAAAAAGTAATAATTGAGCTACTAAATAGAGGTAAATTCTTAGCGTTCTGACCTATTCCCAGTCAATTCTTGAATGACAATGTGGGGATGCTTGTGTTTCCTGTCTGGCTCCCTGAAGGGGGCTATGAAGCCTTCATAATTTGCAAAGGATAACGACAGGGCTTTGGCAGGCTCCTAAATATGTTGAATCGAAACATATTTTTAAATGGCGCCACATATTTAAGAAAATAGTCATAATTGTTATACCCTAACATAGATAACTTCAGTGAAGAAAATAACTTGCTAGAAACCAAAATTCTTTTATTTTTTATTGAAAATGGATGTTTCTCATTCAACATATTCTATGTAGCTCTGTGTTAGAGCATTTGGTTGGAGAAGCCAAACTTCTTATACAGTGAAAACTTGCAGAATTTAAGAATGGACTCAAACCCAGTCTTATTAGCAAGGAGGAGTTGGGGCAATGCTCATGGTGGGGGGGGGGGGGTGTCAGGAAAGTGAGAAAGAGTTTAGTTTGTTGTTACAGAGTCAAAAAAAAGAGAGAACCAGTGTTGTGTTCTACTCTTCTACTGCTGGACCAAGACTTAGCACCATTCGCTTTGGTAACTGACCAGCCAGGCTTCATGCAGACACTAACTGCCTGGCCATACCTCAAGGGAAGAAAACACACATGAGGATTCAGTGACCACAGTTTAAGGCAGCTACATGGATTTACCAGTCTTTGAGACATGCATGTAATTAGAAATAGATAATCAACAAAATAAGGTCAGAGTTCCAAAGGGGGACAATTAGATATTGAGATTTAAGAAAAAGGATGTAAATGTCTAGTTTGTTGGCTGTTGAATTTACATTATGATATGTTACGTATGGGCATAGTGTATAATTTACACTATATATATACATATATATTCTTACAGTTATTGAAACAAATGATATTTTATAAGGAAAACTGATGGCATTTCTTTTGGTTGTTGTCCATATGCTTGTGTCTATTTGACTTTTAAGATGCTACTTAATATCTACCATGAGGATAATTATTTATGTGAGCAGAATACAGGAGGTATACAAGTCAGAGTTGCTCAGCTGCGCTCTTTCTACAACCCCAGCCACGTTAATTGAATAATGCATGAGAAGATGCCCGAGTCCTCATCCGTGGCACCAATCAATGTTGCCTTCTGCGGGCAAAGGAACTTTGCAGATAAGATTCAATTTTAAAAAATCTTGAGACAGAAAAACTATCACTTTGTGCTTTTTTTTTTTTTTTTTTGAGTCTTTCTAATGGAAAGACTGGGCGGCAGGGGGAGGAGCAGGAAGGAAGGTGGAATTCTACACTCTGCGCACCCTGAAGATGGAGAAAGGCAGCCGTGAGGAATGCCGGTTTCTGCAAAAGTAAGGGAAGAGCTGCCCTCAGCAGCTTCCAGAGGAAGGGCGGGTTGCTACAATCTCTGTGTTAGCCCATTCAGCCTGACGTCAGGCTTTCCGTTCTCCAGAGTCATAACTTGACGTGTCTTCTAGCCATCAAGCTTGCGGTCACCGTTAATAGTAGAGAGAGACAAGTCATACAGACATTACCCCTAGCCCCACGCTCATGTTCCTAAAGGTATACTATTGCGAGCGGGTTGCTGGAGAACGCTTTCGCCACATGAGATACCAGAAAGGCATGTCCTCTTCTTGGGGAAGCTTACTGAACGCTGCCTGAGTCAGCGAACATGAGCGATGGTAAGAACAGGACATTTGAAACCACAGGCAAACAGGTTTCCTGTCACAGACTCTCTCATTTTCCAATGGAAGCAAAATGGTGGCATTCTGCCTTGGCCATGACATGGTCAAGCAGGTGAAAATACAAATAAATAACCAAGCAGTCAAAAAAGAACCCAACGGCCTATATGTACCTTTATTCTAATTAGACATTCTCTCATATGTTTTCCTAAGGGTTTTTTTTTTAATTAGAAACAAGCTTGTTTCACATGTCAATCCCAGCTGTCTCTCCCTCCCCTCCTCCTCTGACCCTCACCAACTCCCGCAATGCTCCACCCAATCCCCACTCCACTCTCCAGAAAGGGTGAGGCCCTTCATGGGAGATCTCCAAAGTCTGTCATATCATCTAGGGCAGTGCCTAGACCCTCCCCCATGTGTCCAGGCTGAGAGAACATCCCTCCATGTGGAATGGGCTCCCAAAGTCCATTCTGATGCCAGGGATAAAAACTGATCTAGTACCCGAGGCCCCAAAGATTGACAAGGCCTCCTCACTGACATACACGTTCAGGGGGTCTGGATCAGTTCCATGCTGGCCTCTCAGCATTCAGTCTGGGGTCTTCAATAAGCTCCCCCTTGTTCAGATGAGCTGTTTCTGTGGATTTCTCCAGTTTCTTCATATGAGCACTTAGTGCTATGAACTTTCCTCTTTGTACTGCTTTCAAAGTGTTCCATAAGTTTGGGTATGTTGTGTCTTCCTTTTCATTGACTTTTAAGAAGTCTTTTATTTCTTCCTTGACCCAGGAATGGTGCAACTGCATGTTGTTCAATTTCCATGAGTTTGTAGGGTTTCTGCAATTTGTGTTGTAGAATTCTAACTTTAACGCATGGTGGTTTGATAAGATACAAGGGGTTATTCCAAATTTTTTGTACCTGTTAAGGTTTGCTATGTTGCCAAGTATGTGGTCAATTTTAGAGAAGGTTCCATGTGGCGCTGAGAAGAAGGTGTATTCTTTTGTGTTTGGTTGGAATGTTCTATAGATGTCTGTTAAACCCAATTGGGTCATAACTTCTGTTAGTTCCTTTGTTTCTTTGTTAAGTGTCTGTCTGGTAGTCCTGTCTAGTGGTGAGAGTGGGGTATTGAAGTCTCCCAGTGTAACTGTGTGAGGTCTTATGTGTGATTTGAGTTTTAGTAATGTTTCTTTTATGAATATAGGTGCCTTTGCATAGGGCATAGATGTTCAAAATTGAGACTTCTTCCTTAAGGATTTTTCTTGTAATGAATATGAAATGACTTTCTTCATCTCTTTTGCTTGATTTTAGTTTAAAGTCAATTTGTTCGATACTAGGATAGCTTTACCAGCCTGTTTCTTGGGTCCATTTGTTTGGTAAATCTTATCCCAACCCTTAACTCTGAGGTAATGTCTTTCTTTGAGGCTGAAGTGTGTTTCTTGTATGCAGCAGAAGGATGGATTCTGCTTTGTATCCATTCTGTTAGCCTGTGTCTTTTATAGGCAAATGAAGACCATTAATATTGAGGAAGATTAAGGACCATTGAGTGTTAATTCTTATTTGTTTTTCATTTGTTGATGGTGGTGTTTTTGTTTGTGAATTTACCCTGCTTTTTCTTTTGGCTTTTGGTAAAATTGAATTATCTGTTGCTTATGTTTTCATGAGTGTAGTTACCTTCCTTAGGTTGAAGTTTTACTTCCAGTACTTTCTGTAGCACTGGATTAGTGGATATGTATTGTTTAAATCTGGTTTTGTCATGGAATATTTTATTTTCTCCATCTACAGTGATTGAAAGCTTTGCTGGATATAGTAGTCTGGGCTGGCATCCATGGTCTCTTAGTGTTTGTAGAATATCTATCCAGGACCTTCTGACTTTCAGAGTTTCCATGGAGAAGTCAGGTGTGATTCTGATAGGTTTGCCTTTATATGTTACTTGGCCTTTTTCCTTTGCTGCTCTTAATATTCTTTCTTTATTCTGTATGTTTGGCGTTTTGATTATTATGTGGCGAGGGGACTTTTTTGTGGTCTACTCTATTTGGTGTTCTGTAGGCTTCTTGTACTTTAATTGGCATGTCTTTAGGTTAGGAAAGTTTTCTTCTATGATTTTGCTGAATATGTTTTCTGTACCTTTGAGTTGGGTTTCTTCACCATCTTCTCTCCCTATTATTCCTA